TTCTCATGTGGTCTTCATTTACCATGGTCTCCTATTCCTTGTTCTCCCTCTCTTTTCTTGATCCAGCTGGGATCTCCCGCTATCTTTCCCTCGACCCTCGCCCTTCATTGCTCCCACTCATGTCCAGGCTGTTCATGTAGATCTTTTCCATTTCTCCGTGTCTTTCTTGGGGTCCCGTTTTCCAGGTAGCCTCACTGGTGATGTGAGTAGCAGTCCAGACATCCTTGTTTTGTGTGGTCATCTCTTATTGGCTGGGCATGATCAAGACCTCTGACATGGACTGGTGCTAGGTCCTTTGGCAGACTCTGAAGGAACAGAAACTCTTGATATCGACCAGGAACTCTGACAGTGTCTCTTGCTAGGTCCTCAGGCCAACTCTAACATGGACTAGGAACTCTGCCAGCTCCTGTTGCTAGGTCATCAGACAGACTCTGAACACTCTGGAACTCTGACATTGACTAGGAAACCTGATGGCAACAGTTGCTGGGTTCTCAGGCAGACTCGTTTGGCTCTCAAGGAGTAAGGTATTTGCATTCCTTGGCTACTGGTCTGAGCCAATTTTCTCAAACCTGTGGGGCCTGTCCTACTACATATCCACCCGTTATTTTATTACCAATATATAATAAGGGACCCTAGTAAGCTCAGCTTTTATATTACCTATGACAGCTAACACACACAATTTTCCAAATTAATCAGACATGGGCAGAGGTTGTGGCCTTTGACTATTTTCTAAACTCTTGGCATGATATAGAAAGGCTGATGGATCCCTCCTGGATTCTCACTTGTGTTCTGGATGGCGGATGGCACTTTTAATCTCCCCCCTTTTTAATTGGCTTCCACCAAACATCCAGCAACAATGGAAGCCACTTAGGTGACTCTACAGAAGTCAATCTATCTTAGACATCCATCTCATGGCCCGCTAAAGACATGTTCATGCCTGCCTTTCAGAAAATAAAAGGCCTGACCCTCCCAACCTGGGGTGACTCCTCTGGGATGGATGCTCTTCAAGGGCTGGTAGTCACAGATGGGTAAGACATTGCTTGCCAAGCCAA